ATGGGGAAAGGTTCAATAGTGTCACGTTAGTATAATGGACCCCTATAATGCAATGAGATTGCAGATAAAAAATACAAAGAAATCTTGTACAACTTTTATGAAACAATTTGAAGAGAAAAGACAAACAGAAGAGGAAGAATGGCATACACATTGATTATATGAGTAAAATGAATGAGAATGGACAAAGAATCCTGATGGACTTAGAGGTAACTGAAACTTACAGACTTAGTAACTGAAAAAAGTGTTAATATAGTTTATTCATTTAAATATAAATAAGTATTAATCCAGTATATTCACTTATACTAATCTTTAATATTGTTTCTATTAAAACAATTTCTAAAAATCCTGTTGACACATTTTAAATTCACCTCAACAGAAATCCTATTCTGATGCCTTATCATGGCATAGAGGCAATCATAGATTCTTGAAAGTTGTACCAGCAGTGTGCAGACTCTGAAGAGTTCTACCAAATGGGAAAAACTTCGAACATAAGCCCAGTGATGGCACATACTCACTGTTCAGGGATCAACCTAGTAAATAAAGAGAGGCTTGTGATAAGAAGGTTGACCACAAGATGATTAATTTTTTTTTGATATGGCAAACAATGAAATCTATTTCTTTAGCCATGGGGGCAGAATATGGGAAAAGGAGTACAGTGGTTCTAAGAATCACATATTAGATCAAATCCAGCTATATGTCTATTGAATTTCTTATCATAAATGATATCAAAAGGTAGAAAGAATTTACTGCTAAATGGAAGGACAAAACAAACATTCTCAGAGAGGCAAAAAATTAATGGATAGATGTGGTTTTATTGTGGCAACAAGAAAAAACATTTCTTGGAACAACTTGTCATCTTGCCTTTTTCTGAAGATGACAGACCATTTTGAAGATAATTATGAGATTATGTGCTGACATCTACAGAGGATAAAGGAGAGAAATTCTTTGAAGAATTTGATGAGATCCTCCAAACTAAGTGGACACAACATATCCTTGGCTATTGTGACTTCAGGGCCAAAGGCAGGAACATGAGAAGGCAGGGTAAACCATATTAGAAAATATGATTTGAGATAAAGAAATTGAGGAGACCAAAGGCCTCAGAAGACAGACAGGCCCGTACATAATGAATACTTTCTTCAAGAAGAGTCAGAAAGCACTGAATGAACATATTAAAGGACAAAAACTACACCATAAAGTGAAATTAGCTTATAACTGGTTAATGACATTTATTTCAAACCTTATTTTCTGTGTGTAGTTTAGATCATTAAATTAGTGTTAAGTGGACTTAATTAGAGAAAGGTAAAAATCACCTCCAAGTTAGAAGAGTAAAGTAAGAAATCACTGCACACACTTAGCAACCAACTGTATAAGATGTCAACTCAAAAAAAATGGGAAATGGAAAAAAATAAAGACATTGACATTGCCACTGCATAGAGAAATTGGATTAATATAGTCTCAACAACAAGGAAAATAAAAGGACTTTAGGAACTGTCTTAGTCACCAAATGCACAACATCCTGTCCATTTAGTAAGACATGGCTGCCAAGGGCAACACCAGTTTAGAGTTCAGCTTCATTTGTAAAACATTATGAAAGGAGGAGAATAACAGAAGTCTGCAAGCAGCATGACCTCAACAATGCTGTACACTTAAAGGGAAATTGAGTTTCAGAGACTTCAGCAAGAGTGAAACCAGGTCATCTTGAAAGAATTGCTCTGAATCTCTGTCTCTGTCTCTCTTTCTTCATCATCCTCATCCTCTACTCTATCCTTCATCTTTTCCCTTCCCTTTTTTCCATGTGATTGTTGTGATGGTCCAAAAACCCATTTTGGAGGGCCTAGCAATTGTTGCTACAGGATACCTCTATTCTCTACATACATTTACTATCCTCCTGCCTGTCACTTCCTCTCTTATATGGAACTGTGCTTATGTGGCTCCGCCCCCCCCCCCCCCCCCCGAGCTATCTCATTAATCCCTGGAAGCTTTCAGTAAGGGCTGCATTTGCTGAAAACTTTATATTTGTCTCAATAAGACTCCATCCTTCCCTATAAACTCCACAGTCCTCAAATGTTTCATGGCTGGGCTGTCCGAGGCGTGTGTGTAAGCCCATTGTTCTAGATTTAGAGATGTTTATTCTTAGCCTTTATACAGGAATCATTATGCAGCCTTGTTCAAAGACTTAAAACTTCAGCTTTCCCATATGCCAAGGAAGAATGACCAAAGAAATGTAATTAGGAACACCAATACAAAAGAGCAACATTGAACTCTTCCTACTCTCATAGTGGTTGTAGCCTTCTCTTGTCATCCCTGTCTCCTCACTTCTGTGATTTTACCCCTGAAGGTCTTTTTAATTCTTCCACCATCACTTGTGTGAGTTAAATGTGTCAAATAAAGAATTCTTGAGTCACTTGCTGATCTGACTCTTTTGAGAACACCTTCTAAGTCCTTAAATCTACTGCAATGGGGACAAATGGATTATTGCTTCTTGTTATGAATTTAAATACTTTCTATTGAATGTTCCCATTCCATCTTCTTCAATAAGTGAATAACCATATTTGACCATATTTTTGTTAATCATTTCCTTGAGGTTCTCAAAGTTATTAACAAATATTCAGATTTCTGTGTTCCATGGAGCTCTTCTTTTTACAGTTGAATAGGATGAGAATTTCTCTTTTTTTTTGATAATTTATTCATTTTTAGCTTTCAACATTCAACATTCTCTTCCATAAGATTTTGAGTTCTAAATTTTCTCCTCCTCCTTCTCCTACCCCTTCCCCAAGATGTTGTGCAATCTGATATAGGCTCTATTTATACATTCATATTAAGCATATTTTCACATTAGTCATGACAAGAACTAATGGGAGGAACTTTGAGAAAGAAGAGGTTAAACAAAACAACAAAAGAAAAGGAGAGTAAATAGCATGCTTCCATGTGCATTCAAACTCCAAAATTCTTTCTCTGGATATGGATAGCATTTTCCATCATGAGTCTTTTGGAGTTGTCTTAGATCCTTGCATTGCTGAGAAGAGCTAAGTCTATCAAAATCAGTCATCACACAAAGTGGTTATTACTGTGTACAGTGTTCTCCTGGTTCTGCTCATTTCACTCGGCATCAGTTCATATAAGTCTTTCCAGGTTTTTTCTGAAGTTTGCCTGCTCATCATTTCTTATAGCACAATAGTATTCCATTACATTCATATGCCACAACTTGTTCAGCCATTCCCCAATTGATGGACATCCCCAGGATGAGAATTTCTTAAAAGTAGCTGGTAAATCAATAGTAATGATAAATTTGGAATGTAGGGTTCCTGGGGGCAAGCCATACTACATGGGCAAGTCTGTCTAGACAAAAGTATACAAATAATCAAAAAGTATTCTATCTTTTCTTTCACCCATTCTTGTTATGTAATTTTACATTATAGGATATGTACTTCTTTTTTACAGGTGGGAAGGTATGGGATTAATTTGGTGGGGGGATAGGAAACAATTATTTTGCAGCATCTTGATGGACTAATCCACCAACTACGTGGTGGCCTTATATTAGAAAGTTCCAATTCCTATTGAAGAAATAAAATATAACAAGCATTTGTTGTCCTTGGATAAGGGACCTTGAAGCTTTGGCTACAAGAACTTCTTTCAAGTATTTGGTCACTTCTCCTTGTCTTCTGCCTTTGAATATGGATGTTTTCTTAAGATAAATCCTATGAGCTACATTCCAAATACTACCTTTTTCTCCCTTGGCTGATTCCTTTTCTTTGTCTACTCCTCTCTTTCCTACAAAATGCTTTACTTAAATATCCTGGATTGTCACAGAATGCAAATGATTGACTGAATACTCCAAGGAAGCCTGAAAGGTTATTAAAACCATTCCTGTATAGTAGGAATCTGAAGCTGATATTTATTGAGAGTAGCCTACCTTTGCATGCTAAAAATCGTTATTGCCTTTAGTTTGGCTTCCTATCTTTGACCCACAGTCATTGGACCCTTGCTTCTCCCAAGAGACCTCATTCCTCTTGGTTGAGAGAATTCCCCGACAATTTGGTGTCAGAAGTGGGATGACTGTGATTCCCTCTCAGTTAGTGGAATGATTGGACAGCTGGGACAGCTATAGTGTACATAAGGTAAAATATTTACCTATATTAATACCCTCTCAAGATATTTAGTGTCCTCCTCCAACACACTGGGCAGTAAGAGCCATTTGCCTCAAATTTCTTTTGTCTGAAGGAGATGAGAGTAAAATATACATAAAGGTTTTAAAAAGAGTGATAATTTAGTTGTTTGTAGGTTATGGTTTTACAGGAGGGACATTTATTTCCTGGGGATTATCTTAGTCATAAACCATTGCCAGAGGTTGGTACTAACCATTTAGGCAACTAAACCTTCTTTCCGAGATTTTTTTTGGGGAAGATAGAACACAAGGATCTTCTGATGCAGGAATCTTGTGCCCCAATGGAAGGGAGACTTTTTTTGTCAGGTAAACACCATAACTACGACTAGCATCAACTTCAGGCTTCTTGATGTCAAAAAAAATCTTTTCCCAGTGAAATTAACAGAAGAAGCCATTTGGTTGGGCTGCAAGAACGTATGAATGATGGCTAGTGACTGCACGAATGAGTGTATAAGTTTAACCCTATCTTGAGGGAAAACACTTGTCAAGACCTGAAAGAGATCTATTGATAGCTCTCCTTGCAGTAAGAATCCCTGGCAATCAATGGTTTCTGACTTATCCCAAGGATAACCTAGATTCTTTGATATATTTATTATGCAGCAAATCCTGCTACCTGTATTTTTGTAATGTGGCCACTCTAGATAGTGGCCGGTGGATATCCACAGTCTAGCTTATGGATAGCCTGAATCAGATGAGAAACCAACAAAGCTACTCTAGACCAAGATTACCTCTTGCATAGATATTTTCCTTTCCTTAGAAACTCCCTCTGAAAAGTCTAGTGAGGCTTCTTGGGATTCCAGATTTAGTCATGTTTGTGTTCGTTTTCTTAGCACAGGTGCAGCAGTGAACAGCAGTGAGAGCCTCCCTCCATCTTCTTCTGTCAATGACATCTCCTCCATGTCCACTGACCAGACCCTGGCATCTGACACTGATAGTAGCTTGGAGACCTCGGCAGGACCACTTGGTTGTTGCAGGTGACTAGCCGCCTGCCTGCGAAACCCAGCGTTCTTCAGAAGATGAGGAAACTGAAAAGATGCACAACCGTGCGTGTGGGATGTGATAATTAAGAGAAAATGGGAAGAGAACAAAGTCTAAAATTGAAACCAGGCTTTCAGCTTGCTTCTTCTGCAGAGTTATGTATTGCAACTCAGCCCAAGTGTATATTTAACTTATAATTGCTCTGCTTTCTTCTTCTTCTTCTTCCAGTAATGCTTACTGCAGAAAACAACACACACACACACACACACACACACACACACACACACACACACACA